TGCGGTGTTCCTCCTTTTTGGGCAGGTACTTTTTTTTATTGCTTCCCACCTATTTCATCATGTTACTGTTTTTTTTTTCAATTTACTAACTTTTTAGCTGGAAATTATTAAATATAATCGTTATTAATTCTTGTTTTTTATATTTTGTATTATGAATTAAAATTAAGAATTTGGGTTGATAGGTGTTGTACTTCTTGTGTAAGTTATAATAAAGAATTTGGAGAAGTCAACAATTTCATTTTATGTGTTATGTAAGGTTGGTTATGTGACGTTGAATATATACTTGAGTGTGTGGCCGTGTAGGTGTACTTATTTTAAGGAGCGTTAGGGTATTCGGTTGTATAATAGACATGTTGCTAATATTATTCAAAACTTTAGTAATGGTTCATAAGATGTTGCTAATTTGTGTCCGAAACTAGCTGTTACATTGCCTTGAACTTCTGAATCTACAATTAGATTATAGAAAACCAACCTTAATTATAGTTGAGTAAAAAAATTTCAGGATATCTTGAAAAAGTACGTGTGACTGTCAATTTTGGATAGACGGGTTAGTATAAATTGAGAATTACTTTGACCTTAGAAGTTACATTGCGCAATTTTAACCTTGTTTTGCTCTAAATTGCAGAAACCGAGCAAGGTGTTGCATTGGCAATTTTACGAGGGGTACTCGATTTCAAGAGAGAACCATGGCCTCAAATATCAGAAAGTGCAAAGAGTCTTGTGAAACAGATGTTGGATCCAGACCCTAAAAAGAGATTAACTGCTCAACAAGTTCTAGGTGAGCCTTATTTTTTATCATCTTAGCTAGTCTGTTATAAGATACACTTTCTTCGCTTTCCTGTATGTTCTTGTGCATTTCTTCTGAAACGAAACGTATGTGCATCTCTTATCTATATGTAGAACACCCTTGGATACAGAATGCAAAGAAAGCTTCAAATGTCCCATTGGGAGATATTGTCAGGACAAGACTCAAGCAGTTTGCCGGGATGAATAGATTCAAGAAGAAGGCGCTAAGAGTAAGCATTTGAGATCGTTAACATCATCTAAGATAACCAAGGAATATTGTTTACTAAACTTGGGATATTGAATGTTATACAGGTTATAGCAGAACATTTGACAGTTGAAGAAGTAGAAATTATCAGAGATATGTTTATGCTGATGGATACTGACCGTGATGGAAAAGTAACATATGAAGAATTGAGGGCTGGCCTTCGAAAGGTCGGTTCTCAACTTGGTGAGGCAGAGATAAAGCTCCTCATGGAAGTGGTAAGCTTTCATGAATTGAAACTGTGTCATTATCATTACCATTTCTTGAAAAACATATGCTAGGATCTACTTTATGTTGTGTACCTTTTGAAATGTTATTGTAATGAAAGTTTTCATGTGCTTTCCCCTCAAAAAGTTTTCATGTGTTTTCTAGCCTTTACAATCTAATTCTCTAGTGCTATGAACTCTGCTTTTGTTTGAGAAAATTTTCCCTTTTGCTCTTTTAAGGACATTGTAATGATTCATCCAACTCAAAATGAAGGGAAATTTTAATATTGTTACAGTTTACAGTCTTGCTTAAGCACGAATAGTCTAGTGAGTAGTGATTCTGGTCTATAGAAGGGTTCGAGTAGGTCTAGTTAGGGTGCTGGATGAGAAAAAGCTACGCGCTAGTTTGTTCTTGAATAAATGAGCAATAAACAAAGAAAATCTAGTGTTCTTGAAGAAATTAGCATTTCAACTCTGTTAGACTTGCCTTTAATTTCAAGTTTGTGGTACGTAATGAAGTGTCAAGTGTTCTTACCCATGTCCGAATGTTGAGATTTCAGCTTGTATAAATTAAGTGTGTGTAAGACAGCATAAATACACAAATGATCTAAGCAAGAAGTTTCTTTCTCGGTTTCTCCCATTTGTTAATTGCTGATGTGTTGCCAATACAAATTTTTGGTGCAGGCTGATGCTGATGGTAATGGTTACTTGGACTATGGAGAGTTTGTAGCAGTGACAATCCACTTGCAGAAAATGGAGAACGACGAACACTTCCAGCGAGCATTCATGTACTTTGACAAAGATGGAAGTGGTTACATTGAGCTAGATGAGCTTCGAGATGCATTGACTGATGAATCAGCTGAAACTGATGCAGATGTTCTAACTGAGATCATGCGCGAAGTTGATACAGACAAGGTAACTCTCCCTTTCTCTGTTCGATTTTTTTTTCCATATGATGCTGTCTAAACATCAGTCCATCAGTTCTGTTTCTGACATATTCAATGTTTTTCTTAGGATGGACGAATTAGTTACGAAGAGTTCGTGGCAATGATGAAAACCGGGACTGATTGGAGGAAGGCTTCAAGGCAGTACTCAAGAGAAAGATTCAAGAGCTTGAGCCTTAACTTGATGAAAGACGGTTCTCTACAACTTCATGACGGAATGACTGGTCATGCTGTTGTAGTGTAATATATGAGCAAGAAGGTTTTCGGGTTGCTTCTTTTTTTGCATTGTTCCTTAACCTCAATTGATCTCTTACTGCACCAACCAAAGCAGTTACACAACTTCACTCATGGAGCATCGAACGAACCATAAGATCGTTGTCTCGGATTGTATGTATGTCGATCAAGTGTGTTTACTAGCATCCATCTTAATCAACTAAGGAGGCTTCTGAGGTTGGGAAAAAGTGTTGGTCTTGAAGTTTTCGTAAGTAATTTTTATAGATGAAGGTTTTTGTATATGTCTTTTTTTGTTTTTATATGGTGATCAATTGGTATTATTCCATACTTAATTCTGTATAGAGATTCAAGTTCTTTTTATAGCATATAACATTATCAATTGTCTATTGGTTTTGTATTTCTCTTATGCCTAAATTATTGAGGCTGAATTTCAAGATGATAAGTATGATTTATTGGTTTTCCATTTTATATAGTATTAGAGATTTCTTGATTTGTATTTTGCTCCAATTTTATGTATATATCTTGGTTTTTGGCCCAAATGCCACTAAAAATAGTGATGCATGTGATTATGTTAGTGATGTAAATACGTATGTAAACTTTGTTACGAGTATCATAGTTCATTACTCATTATAGACTTGTAGTGACTTTTGAAGTGTATTTTGTGTATGATTATCAATATATAAAGGAACCAAGATGTAGGTATGATGATAAAAATTATTATCACTTGTAATGATAACGTGTTCCTCCAAATAATATATTGTACTCACTATGTATGAAGGAAAATTTCAAAAGAATTGCAAATTTGAAAGAAGTGTAACTTTTTATGTGCAACCAAGCGACCACTAAATTGACACAGTCGCACATACCAATAAATGATTAAACAAACCCGTTTCGTTATGAAACTGGGCTTCAAGCAATCAAGCATTAGAAACTGCCGCCCACACGATTGTTGTCGTGGATATACAGCTAGATATCAATTGCAACACCCAGTTGCCCCACTTTAATAACATGCCTAATTATGTACTTACACTTTACTTAAATTAGAAACCTTGTACTAATTTAGCTAGTCTTGAAATTTCTGCACTAATTAATTTCTTCATATTCTTCGTATATTATACTATATTTTCTTACATACCTACCAAAAAGGATCACCTTTTCCTTAGTTAGCTAAAAATGATATTGTATTAGTACTAATTAAGATGGTGTCACTCACGAACACATATACGTAAAGTGAGGAGCCATGATTCAAGGGATGTTGGGTCAACTTATAAGGTCTAATTGACTAATTGACATGGAAATCACTATCTAAGAATAATTAAGTTATAATAATGAGTTCTTGAGATTTGGCTATTGCTAACCACCAAAAGTTACAAGTGCTGACGTCTTAAGTACTTGCTACTTTTTGGGCCTGAGTCTAAAGTTCGGCTTGTTTGGCAGTAGCTTTTTTAAGTAGTCGTTAACATTTTGATTAAGTTAAAATTTTTATTAAAAAAAAGTTATGGAGTAGAATATTAGACATGGTAGCGGTTAGCTGGTTAATGCCTTAATGGTAGGCTAGTAACTGTAGTGTTAGCATTTCAAAGGTAGTGATATTGGTTTAACAATAAGCTTAATTAAGGTGAATATAATGTACACTAAAAGCTACATATTTCACTTTTGAAAGGTGGGATAAATGAAATTTGAATCCATGATCCTCTTGACATGCTAAGGGCCTGTACTGTTCTGATTGGCTGAACTGAATTGAACTGAACTGAACTTATTAGAGCTGAACTGAACTGAATATTTTATAAGAGAAGGAAATTAGGAGCTAAACTGAACTGAACTGAAAATAATCGTATCAAAATAGGCTCTAACTCTTGATGGCTGAAGCCCCAAAAAGTATTAATGCTCTATCTAAAATGTTAATTGATGGCTAAACCCCCTAAAAAGAGTAATACTCTATCTTGGAAGCCAGGATAACATATTTTAAGTAAAGAGATGGAAAATAAAACTATACGAACTATTAAAGAATATAACCGGCATCTTTAAGCTGTTGCTGATTACTAATTACAAAAAATTGGCATGCTGACGGGCTGGGTTTCCATTAGCAACGACAATCATTGCCAACTAATTTATAACAGACTTAGTTAGCTTGCATCTTCATCCATGCAAAGAGCCAAGCAAGCACACCTTCATATCACTATCTATTTGTTAATTATTGTTTATAACAAATTAAAGCCTAAATAATACTTGTATTTGTTAATTCTCCCTTAATATATCATTAAAATGCCCATATTCTCATTGTACAAAGTATATATAGCTATATAACCTCTTGAAACCATAAGCTATGACAATAATAATACAACCTAAACATACACTTAATTGTAGAAAAACACATAAACAAAACATGCCTCAAATAATATCCTCTTTCACTATATTAGCTCTAATACTTTGTTCCTCTCAATCCTTTGCAAAAGTTTATACCACTCCTAGTACCTTAATCGTTGGCCTAACTCATTCAAGGAATGTCATCCCTCAAAAGAGCTCTAATGCTCTTCTTATGGCTAAGGAAATTCAACCAGAACCACCTATGTTCGATATGGTGGAGCCACTAAGAGCAACTAGGGACGGATATTTAATGTCCTTAAACCTAGGGACGCCGCCTCAAGTCATACAAGTCTATATGGACACAGGAAGTGACCTTACTTGGGTTCCTTGTGGAAATGTATCCTTTGATTGTATAGAATGTGATCAATATTATAGGATAAATAGGCTAACAAGTGCATTTTCTCCCTTAAATTCATCTTCCTCTCTTAGGGTTTCTTGTTCTAGTCCTTTTTGTACTCAAATCCATAATTCTGATAACTCTTATGATCCATGTGTTATGGCAGGATGCTCATTGAATACCCTTCTAAAGGGCACATGTTCTAGGCCATGCCCTTCATTTGCCTACACCTATGGGGGTGGCGGTGTAGTGTCCGGGACATTAGCCAAGGACTTACTAAGAGTTCATGGTACCGGCCTTAGTAGTAGTACCACAAAAGAGACTCAACGATTTCGTTTTGGATGTATAAGGCAAGCTTATAAGGAACCTTTAGGAATAGCCGGGTTTGGAAGAGGCTCACTCTCATTACTATCACAATTAGGGTACCTTAACAAAGGTTTCTCCCATTGTTTTGTGTCCTTCAAATTTGCTAGTAACCCTAATATTTCGAGCCCTCTAATCATTGGCGATGAGGCTATTTCTTCCAAGGAGTCATCCAAATTTACTCCATTGTTGACTAACCCTACATACCCTAATTACTACTACATTGGCCTAGAAGCCATTACAATAAGCAATATGAGCATGAAAGAAGTCCCAATGAAGTTAAGAGAATTCGATGGTAAGGGCAACGGAGGGATGATGATTGACTCCGGAACCACATATACACATTTGCCCGAACCCTTGTACTCACAACTCCTCCTAGACCTCCAATTAGCCATCCAACATCCTCGAGCCATCGAGCAAGAGAAACAAACCGGATTTGACCTTTGTTATTACATCCCATGCCCTAACAACAATGGAAGTAGTAATTGCATTGGGAATGATGATGATCTTCCTTCGATTACATTCCATTTCTTAGATAATGTGAGCTTGTTTTTGCCAAGGGCTAATAACTTCTACGCCATTCGCCCTCCAAGCAACTCTAGTGTGGTGAAATGCTTGTTATACCAAGGTATGAACGACGAAAATGATGGTAATGATAGTGGTGGTCCGGCTGCTATTTTTGGAAACTTTCAACAACAAAATGTTGAGGTTGTTTATGACTTGATGAATGAGAGAATTGGGTTTAATCCTATGGATTGTGCTGCTGCCTGTTCATCATCTCAAGTACTTAGGTCATAGGGTCTTTCAAGCATAAAAATGTACTTCGGTATACTTACAACACCAAAAATAATACAATAATGCACCCTTATTCTCAATTTCATTTTTCCCATTTGACCAAAAAGTTTTCATAGAAAACAATAAAAGTTGACCGAGGGAGTAACCACTAGATAGTGTATGGAAGTTTCATGTGCAATGAAAGATTTTTGGAATAATTTATGATAGGAAGTATTACTCTCTTTAACTCGTTCTTGTATACTTACAACACTTTATATTTATGGAAAAGTATTGTGTAGAACGGAATCACGTGAGTCCAATTATACAAAAAAAAACTAATTGTTAGAAATTCGATAATAATGTTCAGAAATTAGATAATAAGTGTCAGAAATTAGATAATATTGGTCAGATTTTAAATAATAATTATCAAAAATTAGATAATAATGGTCAGATTTTTGATAATAAGTATCAGAAATTAGATAATAAGTGCCAGAAATTACATAATATTGGTCAGGTATTAGATAATAAGTATCCAAAATTAGATAATAATGGTCAGATTTTAGATAATAAGTATCAGAAATTAGATAATAAGTGCCAGAAATTACATAATATTGGTCAGGTATTAGATAATAAGTATCCAAAATTAGATAATAATGGTCAGATTTTAGATAATAAGTATCAGAAATTAGATAATAAGTGTCAGAACTTAAATAATATTGGTCAGGTATTAGATAATAAGTATCATAAATTAGATAATATTGGTAAGATTTTATATAGTATTGGTCAAGTTGTTTTGTTTTGTTCATATCTTAAATTCCCTTTTCATTTTTCGCAATAGCCAACACTAGCAGTAGCAGAAATTAGATACTATTGCTCGGCTCTGCATCTTCTTCTTTGCCAATTTTAGGTAATTTCCCCGCCATCGACGTTGAGAAGGTCGTCGACATCAGGGTTTGGGAGGGAGAAGGTCGCCGGCCGCCGACAAAGCTGACAGAGGGTAGGGGATGGGTGTATGCATTATAAACCGGACTCACGTGAAACGGACTCACGCAAAACCTTCTGTTGTTCTATTTCTTTTTACACAATTGATTTAATACATACTAAAATATAGTTATATTATTCCCTCCTTCCTCCCCCCCCCCCCCAAGAGTTTATTTCTATTTTGTATATGGTCTTTATAACGTATCTTTGACCATTAATATGTTTAATTATATTTTAAACAAAAAAATGACATTATTAAACTATACATTGACAAGAATCCATTAATAACTTTGCATAAGTTAAAATGCAATATTTTTTTCTCTCCCCCAAAAGAACCATATCTCTCCTCTCTTCTATGTCGTAGAAGTCTTTCGTAAACCTCTTTGTCGAAAATTCATCATTTTCCGATGGAAATTCCATCAAAAAAGGTAATTTCGACGGATTATATTTTGTCGAAGCTTGGTTGGGCCAAAGTTTAAAATTCGTTGCAAATTTCCGACGGAGATTTCTTTTTCGAGTGAAAATACCATCGGAAATGGGTAAGCTTTCGACGGATTTTAATTTCGTCAAAAAATTACGATGCTTTTTTTTTTACAATCCTTTGAAGACAAGTTGTTCTTAGCGCTTGGAATAGCTCGGATTAGGTTACGAAATCATCACAAGAATTTTCTTCCTCCTAATATTATGAAGCGATGACGAATCAACTAAACAAAATTGCACTCTATATTCCTTCCATTTTTTTATTTCAATTCCTTTTGTATACCCCCGGTGCAAAATAAAAATATTGTCCATCAGTAATTACCACAATATATACCACGTGCCATTTAGCTATAGTGTCTGCACTCTACAATGCCCAAAATAAAGAGAAAACAGATTTACTTATTATTATTATTATTATTATTATTATTATTATTATTATATCTCAAAAACAAAAGTCATACAACCTACAATAAATTAGTGGGAAGCCGAGATACAATCTGGGCCCCCACTCCTCTAGCTATAGCAAATCCTACCCTAGTGAAGATATGAGCTGCAGCACGAGCCCCAATGTCTTGCGTCGTCGAGAACCTCTGAATCCGCTCCAGTAACGCAACAGCCTCCTTCTCTAATTCCCCAAGCGAAGAAAAGGAGAAGGGAATGAAACCATATCCAATCGCCTGACATCGAGCTTCATACTTATCTCGCTTCCGATGAGCAGCATCAGCCACAACCCGCCCAGGAATAAAGTCAGATAGCCCTGACTGTGTCAAAGGAGAAGACCCTGTCAAATCAACACAGACATCGCGACCACGATCCCATGAATAAAGTAACACATCCGCAGGTCTGAGGGTCTCGTCGTTCCCTCCAGCCAACCCAATGTCAACCTCCTTTCTCGCTGAAATCCCAGAACGATAGCAAACATCAAAAGGGTATCGAACAACATTATGCCGATGTTTAATACCCACAATACCAGCACAAGACACCGCGTGATCACCGAAAATATCTCCAGCAAAAACCCTCGAACAAGCAGAGCACGACGTCGAGACAGAGAACAATGGAACACCCAACCGATAGGACAACACACAGTGATAAGTCTTAGCGTTCATCGTCTGACCCAACCCCGAAATAGGAACCGCCCGAAGCCAAGCTGAGGTGTGATCACCCTACTGTGATTTCCATAATGCTGATTGTCGAGGAGTTAAAGAATAAGCAGATTCTGCAGAAGCGGTAATCTTTGTGAAATACATATCTGCCAATTTCTTCATGAGTTTAGGGGCAGCGACCTCACTAGGATTACTCAAAATGTCAGACTCCACTTTTCCATTAAACAAACACAACGCATCCTCAAAGGCTCGTCGAAGACCAACAATGCCAGCATGCCGAAGAAGTTGTGTCTGCAACCCAGCAGACTGCAACCGAGAAGCAAGAAAAGCATAGTGACGAACATCACCTGCAAAATAAACACCAAGCCCTCCAAACGTAAATGGTAAGGTGGCAAGCCGCCACTGCCAATCACCAAACCAAGGCCCCGAAGCGGTAACAATACGCTCCATGGAAGATCGAAGAGCTCCATCAAAAGTGCGCTGAGCTACCTCAAAAGTACTAGGAGGACAAGTATGTAATGCAAAGTAGAGTTTTGAAACTCCGGTACATGCCCTAAGTAACAACAGTTCACACTGAGGATCATCGAGCATAGCGACCTTATCCATAAGGGCAATGGTCTTGGTCACCCTCTACATCACAAGCTCACCATTAAAACCAGAATCGGAACTAGCGGGACCTCCAAGCAACCTAACACCACGCAAAGGTCGAGCAATATTAGGCGGAAAGACACCCACCAACCTGCTTCGAGGGTCTTCCGTAGGCCAGAAAACTTAAGTTTTTTCCACGTTAAGACATATCCCATAACGAGGTCCTTTCTCCATAATCAACTGCAGAACTTGCCCCACCACCAAAATGTCACCAATAATCATGCCGTCATCTAAATACCAAGCCTGAAGACATACATCAAAAGTCTCCCTAATTTTACATACCAGGGGTTGTAAAACCAAAGAAAAAAGCAAAGGATCAAGGGGATCACCCTGCTGCACCCCTTGAGATGACCATAAGGTTTGGTCCCTATAGTACAACCTGGCTGGATTAGAATAGCAGAATTCAACCCATCGCGAAATGCCTAGACAACGGCGACGTACCTCACTTAACATGACCGAAAGATCAACCAGATTGAAGGCATTTTGAAAATCCACCAACAACATAGATAGACCCACATCAGAACCACGGTCCTCAATCAACCGATTCACCGCATGAAGAATTGCCTCACCACCTGAAGAAACCCCAACACCAAATTGAAGGCCATCAAAGTAACTCCCTAAAGACTGTCCAACCATAACAGCACCCACCATCGAAACGAGACGCCGCCAAACCGTACCCACAGCAATAGGACGAATACCACCACCGAGCTTGACAAGTGGCGTAAGAGGAGCACTAGCAATGTACTCTCCTAATTCCATAGAACATCTTCCAGCTAGAATGAGATTAACCACCCCGGTAATAGAGTCAACCAACTCATCTGAGACTGCCACAGCTGCACCACTTAAGTAATCCATAAGATGTTGAGCACGCAAACCATCCCTACCACATGATGTCAGCTCACTATCTCCAACCAGAAATTTGTTATTATTATTATTATTATTATTATTATTATTATTATTATTATTATTATTATTATTATTATTATTATCTCAAAAACAAAAGTCATACAACCTACAATAAATTAGTGGGAAGCCGAGATACAATCTGGGCCCTCACTCCTCTAGCTATTGCAAATCCTACCCTAGTGAAGATATGAGCTGCAGCACGAGCCCCAATGTCTTGCGTCGTCGAGAACCTCTGAATCCGCTTCAGTAACGCAACAGCCTCTTTCTCTAATTCCCCAAGCGAAGAAAAGGAGAAGGGAATGAAACCATATCCAATCTCCTGACATCGAGCTTCATACTTAACCCGCTTCCGTAAGCTGCATCAGCCACAACCCGCCCAGGAATGAAGTCAGATAGCCCTGACTGTGTCAAAGGAGAAGACCCTGTCAAATCAACACAGACATCGCGACCACGATCCCATGAATAAAGTAACACATGCGCGGGTCTAAGGGCCTCGTCGTTCCCTCCGGCCAACCCAATGTCAACCTCTTTTCTCGCTGAAATCCCAGAACGATAGCAAACATTAACAAGGGTATCCCGAACAACATTATGCCGATGTTTAATACCCACAATACCAGCACAAGACACTGCGTGATCACCGAAAATATCTCCAGCAAAAACCCTCGAACAAGCAGAGCACAACGTCGAGATAGAGAACAATGGAACACCTAACCGATAGAACAACACACAGCGATGTCTTACCCAACCCTGAAATAGGAACCGCCCGAAGACAAGCAGAGGTGTGATCACCCTGCTGTGATTTCCATAATGCTGATTGTCGAGGAGTTAAAGAATAAGCAGATTCTGCAGAAGTGGTAACCTTTGTGAAATATATATCTGCCAATTTCTTCATGAGTTTAGGGGCAGCGACCTCACTAGGATTACTCAAAATGTCAGACTCCACTGTTCCATTAAACAGACTCAACGCATCCTCAAAGGCTCGTCCAAGACCAACAATGCCAGCATGCCGAAGAAGTTGTGTCTGCAACCCAGCAGACTGTAACC